TATATATATATACATATATATATATATGTATATCTCCCCCAAAGTATGTATGTGTGTGTACACCGTTCATTGGCATCATGTACCATAACGTCAAAACTAACACATGGCTCTCTTTTGAAAAGCATCTGGTGGATTTGAATCACATACTTTTGCATTGGCAGTATGATTTCTTACCATTAAGCCACTTGTGTGTGTGCGTGCGTGTGTGCACTTATGTACAGAAAGGTGGGAGAAAGATACACAATCTCCTGTGTGACTTCCTTACTCTGACAAACCACTGGAAGGTGAGCTATGAATGAGTCAGTTCTGACTAGACACACATCATAATTATATGTAGTTTTCACTAAAACAAAGTTGTGAATGTAAAAAGATAATACACATTTTTTATGGAATTTTAAAGTTACTAAATATTGCTAATGGGAAATCTGCCATTATTTATTGCAAAAATTAAAATTTTTATGTTTTTCAAAATTTCTATCTTTAAAGTTTATCTTGAAGAAATAATTGCTATTGTTATGTGCCGTCAAGTCGTTTTCGACTCATAGCGACCCTATGCACAACAGCCCTAAACCCTGCTCTATCCCGCGCCGACCGCACCGCCTCTGACACACCCATCCCGATTACCCCAGTCACCGAATCAATCCATCTCATAGAGGGTCTTCCCCTCCTGTGCTGTCCCTCCACCCTCCCAAGCATGATGTCCCTCTCCAAGGACCTGTCCCTCCTGGCAACATGTCCAAAGTATGTCAGACGAAGCCCCAGAATCCTTGCCTCCAAGGAGTAGCTTGGTTTAATTCTCTCCAAGATGAATCTGTTTGTTTTCCTGGCAGTCCATGGTACGAAGAAATAATTAGATAAGTAATTAAGATATATGGAAGATTGTTCATCGCAATATTACTTCTTCTAACTGAGAGAAATGTACACCATTAAAACTAGATTAACAAAATAGGATATATTTGGTAAGACAATACTTGTTGAATATAGACCTTTATTGATAGATGTCCAAAAATCTTACAGAATGACAATAAAGGAACAAAGGTCTATACAGTCATCAGAATGAAAGAAATAAGAAGAAAGATAGTCGCTGATGAGAGATGTCAGCAAAAACGGATGGGCAAATAGGAAGCAGATGTAAAGTGTTAAAATAGTATTGGCAGAATATAAAAAGCAAAATACATAGGCCTGAAAACCAAATATGCCCAGAATAATTTTAAAACTGAATGAGCACTGCAAAGAGGAGGACTATTTAAAGTGTAGAATGAATTGCACCTGAAGCAGGACTAGGACGACTCATTAACAACCTACGATATGCAGGTGACACAATCCTGCTTGCTGAAACTGAAGAAGACCTGAAGCATTTGCTGCAAAAAGTTGAAGACTGTAGTTTTCAATATGGATTAAAACTCAACATTAAGAAGACAAAGATTCTCACCACTGGGCAAATTGGCAGCACCATAATAGATGGAGAAGAGATTGAGGTTCTTAGCAATTACTCAATTTGCTCAGATCCACAAGCAACACTTTTATCACTAGCAGTCAGGAAATCAAAAGACGAATTGCATTATTAATATCTGCTGTCAGGAACTTCTCCAGAGTGCCGAAGAGCAACAATGTTAGTCTATATACAAAGGTGCGCCTAATCCAGGCTATGGTCTTCTCAATTAATTGTTATACTTAAGAGAGTTGACAGTGACTAAGGATGACAGAAGAAGAATAGATGCCTTCGTGTTGTGGTGCTGGAGAAGAATCTTGAACATACCATGGACTGCCAAAAAAACAAATAGGTCTGTCTTGGAGAGGGTGAAACCAAGTCTGTCCTTGGAGGCTAGGATTTTGAAGCTCCATCTCATTTACTTTGGGCATGTGGCCAGGAGAGATCTGTCCTTGAAGAAGTGCATCATGCTCAGAAGGGTGGACAGACAGCACAGGAGAAGGAGACCCCAGATGAGGTGGATCAATGCAGTAACTGGGGCAATGGGGGTTGGTGTGTCAGAATTAGTGAGACTGGATCAGAACAAGGAAGGGTTTAGAGCTGCTATATATAGGGTCATTATACATCGCAGATGACTCAATGGCACATAACAACAATAACATACTATGATAGGTTTGGAAGCAGGAGTGGCATCCACTTCCTAAATAACATGCCTCCAGAAATTCTATGAACTTTTATAAATGTCAATAGTTGTAGAGGGGCCTCAGGCCCTTGGTTCATAGGGTCAATATGAGTCATGCTCGACTCGAAGGCAATCAACAACAACAACAACAACATCACAAAACAAGATTTGTTTTAATTGTTGAGTGAAAAACTAACATTACATCTGGATGTAAACTACTTTTATTGTAAACTTTCACTCAACCACAATTATTTTTAAAGTGCATAATAAATTGCTGTAAGGTAAATCCCTACCCCTGTCTTGCAAATTTCAGCAATTACAACATCCTTAATATCAGCAGAAAACTAAATGTTTATGCTGTGAACCACTTAAATCAGACAAGCTCTGACCCAGAGAGTGATGCATATAGGTGATGGGTGCATAGGTGAGTGGGAGCATTGGTGAGCAGAGAAAGTTGCTCACCTGCCATATGTAAATAGGGAACTAGGTGACAATTTCACACTAAATTAAGAGATGTAAGCCTTTCTCACCGTATAATCCCCTCATAATTACAGTCAGACACTGAGACAGGTTAGAGGACTTTCTGGTGGGAACTTTTGCAAAAAAACGGAAGAGAAAAACCCTACACAATGCTAACAAGGTGTTTTCCAAGAACAAGTTCAGCTGGCCACCTAATCACCCTGCTGAGAGACCTCCTGATTAGCACCTTCCCTGCCTCCAACACACACACACATGTGTTCACACACAAAGACATGCATAACACTTCTAATGATGTTTTTTAGGCTTTACTCATAAACAGCCAGCCACATTTCAGGGATATTTAAATAAAGTCTTTGAAATAAAAGAGAAAGCAAAATGAACACGAGGCAAATGTAACTTGAAGGGAAAAAACATCAATTCAGAGAACAGACAAAAGCTTTTAAAATATTAAGAGTCTTCTAATTTTCAGTTTTTTGAAGAAGTGCCATGCCAGACTCCCTTCCATAGTGGTTGTATCACTTTTCATTCCCACCAGCAGTGTATGAGAGTTACAGTCTCTCCACATCCTAGCCAGAATTTGTTGCTTGCTGTCCTTTTGAACTTTGCTGTTTTTTTCTAGGGTGAGATATGATATCTCATTATTATTTTGATTTGTATCTCGCCACTATCTAGTGAATAGTAAAAGCATTTGACCCACCTGTCCCACTACTGGGAATATACCACAAAGAAATCAGAACTGTGACACAAACAGATGTATGCATACACATGCTTATGGTAGCATTATTCACAATATTAAGGAGATGGAAGTAGCCAAATTCCTATCAGCAGAAGAATGGATAGAGACACTGGTACATTTCCACAATGGAATATTATGAAACATTGAAAAACAATGAATTCATAAAACAGTAAGTCTGGAAGATATTATCCTGAGTGAAATACCTCAGTAACAAAAGAACAAAAGCAGCATAATACCACTATTATAACAATAAGATGAGTATAGGATGGGAAATAACTGGAAAAGGATGGATAGATAATAAACACTGCACTGAAATGGGTGAAGGTAAAGACAGTCTGTAAGGAATAAATGACATTTATGTGTATGACAGTTAATAAACAGGAACAGGACAGTGAATTGGGAAGTGGAAGAGAGGAAAATGTTTATGTATGTATGTATGAATTAATGAGGAGTGAAAACCAAACTCTGTAAACTTTCACTAAAATCACAATAAAAAATATTAAGATTCTTAGAAAAATGATAATAATATTTTGCCTCCAAAGCAAGAATAGAACCAGTTTTACGCTGGGCAAATAAAAAGGAAACATTTTGGGATTACAGAAGAACAGGAATTAAAAATTCTTAAATACATAGATAGTCGGATGGAAGAGATGGCAGACATTGAGAAGCAGACCAGAAGGTCCATCCTCTAATTAATAAGAATTATAAGAAAGCACAAAACACACAAAATCAAAGAGGATGAATTATGTAAGAAGTAATAAAAGATTAATTGCTGAAACTGAAGTCTATGTCTCTAATCCTAAGGGCGCACAGCAAAAGGACCCCACACTCAATGATAACAAGCCAGTACCAAGTGCATTGTTGCAAAAGTGCAGCACACAAAAAATGGGCCAGTGATTAAAAAAGCAAGTTTCATACAATGATAAATAGCCAGAGTGACTTTAGACTTCTCAAAAGTAACACTAGTAAACAGAAGCCAACTTAACAATCTTTCAAAATTAAAATGAGAAGAAGAAAAACATTTAAAAGTTTTATACCTAGGTAAAAAATTAAAAAAAAAACTATGAAATACAAGGTCTTGGGGAATTTACCTCAAACATTTTTTTAAAAAACTATATCTTAAAATGTCTTAAAATAATGAATACTCTGTTGTTGTTGTTGTTTTCTGCCGTCGAGTCGCCTGCGACTCATAGCGACCCTATGTACAACAGCCCTAAACTCCGCTCTGTCCTGTGCCAATCGCACTGTCTCTGACACT